CAATCAAAAGTATTTGAATATACACATTTACAATTCAAATGGGTCCCAGCCACCTATGCAGATACTAATAGCTGTACCACTGTACTTACTGGCCATTGAATAAGCAGCATGTGCTTACCCTCACATTAATCCTCACCAGTGGGTTGTTCTCTACATGAGCCGATCTAGGACTTTGAAAAGCAGGATGCAGAAGGTCTGGTACAACATTGCACATTTTTCTCCAGGTAAAGAAACTAGAAACTTCACAAAGATGCTAGAGGCCCAGGGCTATATTATTGAGTTTAAGACCAAAGGAAAAATGAATATAACTTTATTGGGCTGTGCCCTCATTTGCTAGATTATATATTCAAAACCACAAAAAAACAGGCAAAATAGTCAAAGGGTATTGTTTTATTAGTCCTGTAATCATTATAGATAAATGTACATCTCTTATTCAGATTTATAAAACAAAATCTAGCCTTCTTGAACAGCTTGACGGTGCATCCAACACTTTACTGTAACTCATATGAAAATGATTGAATAATAACCTGAATTAATGTTACCACACCTAAGTTAAGATTTTTAGCTGGGACTGAAAACAGTGAAGGACTGTGAAACAGAAAACAGAGATTGCCAGGAGTGGCTAGCAGATACCAATATTGCTGAAGAAAGGATAACTTGAGTAATGGAACATCAAGACCATTAAAAAAGAAAAAGGTTCACTAGCACCTGAGATTAGCAGGAATCAGGTACATTAAAACGAGCCATGAAGTCAATTAACACCCTCAGCACTGCCTGAATAGAAATGCTGCTACCCCTCCAGGGCAGGTAGTTTTAAAGTTTAGGTGGAGTAGGAATCAAAGGGGGGTGCAACTGCATCACTAAACATCCCTCCCCCGCCCACACACACACCCTGGATCTACCCCTGATTCTGTACCAAACCTGATACAATTGCCCACATACGCTGATACAATTGCCCACATATAATGGCAGTATTGCCAGTAGCAGCACTCATGCAACAAAAAGAAAGATGTTTCCAAAAAGACATAGTTTAACCAGTGGCAGGCATATAGGCTTACTCTTCTAGACACTTTGTTCATATAGTTACACTTTCAGACCCTAGAGAATGGTCATGGAGCAATAGAGTTGAACATATTTAGCAGGAAGGAGCTAGCTGTTGTTTTCACAGCTGCACCTGAATGAAATTTTGTGTGAGCAAAAGTAGACTGGACATAGCCTTGTTTAGGAAGGTTAAGAGATTTGTAGTGATAATGGTCAGTTAAATACATAGATTGGTTTCTGTCAGAAGAAAAAGTGTTGCCTGGAAAAATAGGACTTCATGGATATGAAATGGTGCAAAGGTCTATGAAGAATGGATTGTTCCTTATTGACAGAACTGGTCACCAATTTTACATTTGAGTTTCTAATAAAAACAGCATGTTTGTGGACTTGACCATATGCTTAAGGCTGCATTATTACTCGCAGCAAAAATGTAACTCTGAAGAAGTGCTGAAACTTGGCAGGAAAACATTGTCTGATGTGGGGCTTTCATTAAATATTTACTTTCAAATGTAAGACTGTGTGTATTCAGAACATGGAAAAATTACAAAGCACTGGCTTTTCAGGAAGCTTCATGCTAAGGAGTCTCCTTTGGAAGTGCTGTCATTATTCAACTCCAGTTCAGACATCAGGGAAGTTTCATTCTGGATATTACAAGTTGCTGGCAAAAGCAGAAGGATAATGAGGAAGAGAAAGGAGCTGAGGCAGGTCTGGATGACCCCAAAGTCCTGAGGTGCTCAGAAATGGGTATCCTGTTATAGGGTTGTGTCTAGGTGGGAGATGAATATGCAGTTATATTTTCATAGATTTCATAGATTTCATAGACATTAGGGCTGGAAGGGACCTCGGAAGATCATCAACTCCAGCCCCCCGCCCAAAGGGCAGGAAGTCAGCTGGGGTCATAGGATCCCAGCAAGATAAGCATCCAATTTGCTCTTGAAGGTCCATCAAAAAGCATGTGCCCCTGTTAGTACCTTTCTACTCAATTTCTGCCAAAGGAGAGGAAAACTGAAGAAGTCAGTGGCATAATCTACAATTCAATTAAATACAGAAGAGATTAATTCTGACAAAACAGAGGGGATAATTCAAAGGGTGCTGAACTAATTTTGAACCTCAGGCCAGACCCAGAATAGGGCATGGGGCAACAACAGTGGCAGCATCCACTGCAAAGGCAATGTGGCAAGTAGCTGTGGGCCGTGCTGCCATGGGGTAACCAAGGTCAGTATTGCTAAGGGCCAAGTCCACTGATCCATAGTGCCCTGGATTTTGCAACAGGCCCTGCCCCTGCAAACCATACCCTCAAACTCCATGGCCTTCCAGTAGCATGGTGGGCTAGATGGAGTGGTTCTAGGGGACAGATCCAGCCTACAGGCCATATGTTTCACACTCTTGTGATAAGTGATAAATAAGCAAAAGAGTGTAAAGTATATTACTTTATATAGGCATAGGAAATTGTAACAGAAATAAGACAATATAGCATCTACCAGTTCATGCCACAAAAGCAGAATATACTATACCCCATAGGACAGGCTATACGCCATAGGATTTAGGATCCTGTCTTAGTATACTTGAAATATCAACAGAGAGTTTGAACATGTTTTTCATTGGGGGAAAAAAGTATTTATTTGATTCTGGGCAGAAACTGCAGTTTTCTCTGCTCAGTAATTGGTACCCATCTGTCAAAGCTTCTTTCCAAAGACAGTCATATTAGTGATCCATAGTTCCACAAAGCAATATGTTTTTACAGGCTTGGTGTTAACTTCTTCTTACTGCATTTTGCAGGACCTCACAGCTGCAAATGTCTGCATCCAGGCTGCATCCAAAAATTTATGGAAAGGGAAATAGTCAGGATAACTGCCATGTGGACAAAGGAGCAGAGAAAGCACTGGTTTAAACTCTACGAGTAGAATTAGCAGCACAAGTGGATGAGCGAGCTTAGTACTATATACAGCTTGGCAATTTCCAGTGCATCCTACTCCCATCCCCACAGATATCAGAATAGTTCCTTGAACTGCTGGACTCTCTTTGCACTGTGCTGGGCTTCCTATCCCTCCAGTCAGCATTGCTGATTATAAACATCTTGGAGTCTGGCAAAAGCCATTAAGTGAAACCAACTGCTCCAAGGATTTTGCCTTATTATGCCACATCAATATATTATGATGATATTTACCACATAATGTACAGCAACTGGAGTAGAATCTCCTAACAGCAAACACTCATCTGGAGAGTAGCAGGGAGAACAATGGTGTTATGATTCACAGGGTGTCAAAGAGTCCCAGAGCAATAGCATCTGCATCGTTTAAAATATGCAATTTCTGCATACTTAAAAATCCCTTTTGGAAATCACAATCTTGTCTCAGACAATGGCAGTGTTTGAACCTAAACAAAAGTAGCTGCTTATCATTTTCAGTTTCACAATTTCCCCATGTTCCCATATATTCAAAATGTCTTTTTCATTCACATTATAACCAGCCCCCAGTAAGCTGGGATATATACTTAGTTGCCCAGAACTCTGATGCTTCTGCCTTTACAATAATATTAGAGTTCTTGCATTACACATGGGAGGTGGCCTGCTGTCCAGCAGGTGGCTGTAGACACCCCCAACCCCACACACACAGAGACAAACACACTAAAAAACTCCCTAATATCTTTACTCGGTCCCTTTCACTTTGTTTTTTTTTCTTGGCTTTGTTGCTTACCTTGTCTGGGAGGTCACACATCAATAAAAGAGCCAAGAAGCATCTCCCAAATGTGATACTGGATGAAGGGAATCTTTGCTCCTTTTATGGCCCAGCATACATTTGTAAACACCATGCTGCAATCTACCAGGTGCAACCCTGCACTTCAGCCACTGAAGTCCTCCTAGTTGTCTGCCCTCCAGCTAAGTTGCCCTGGCGCCACTTAGGCCCCTAGCAGATGTTACATTTGTTGCTTATGTGGATATTATACCTTGAATCATAACATGACAACTGAGCACACATTACAAGTATTGCAGGATACTTCTGCACCGCAAAAAAGGTGTTGTTATAATGAGCAACTTCACTGTAGCTGATCTGCTATTTTTATCCAGGGATAATCTGGTTTAAGTACTGGCATGTTACAGTTTTTTATGTCATATTCACATGTAACACACAGGCCATGTAACATCTGCCATGAGCCTTAGAAAAATAACAGAATAGAAAGCTGGTATAGATTCCAGAAGATATAGACTTCCTCCCTATTGGGCGTGTCTACATGTGCATTGACGTGGGTTTAAATTTACTCTGCAGTAAATTACTGTGCAGTAAGCAGCAATAGGCTGGTGTCTCCACATGCAGGCGTTAAAGCACACACAAAGTGTTACTGCTCAGTACAGCATCTTCATGTGTGTTACTGTGCGGTAACTAATTGGGCATAAATTTGATACCTGCATGATGCAGGTATCAAATTTATGCTCAAATCAACATAAGTACCCATATTCACTGCACAGTGCATGCATGCACATGTAGATGTGAGCCCATACTGCACAGCAGTTTCGGTTACTGCACAGTAAATGCACACATGTAGATGCGCCCATTGTGGTCCAGTAAGGGGAAGTAAATTCTCCCTCCATTTTTAGGTAAAACCTAAGGTCCTGGAGAGCAATAGAATCCTCTACTCAAGTCCCTTCTTCTTCCCTTCTCTTCCTTTCTCTTGTTTCCACTTCTGCACCACAATGCGAAAACACTGTCCTAGAGACCCAGCTATTAAGTAAAACAGCATCACAGTGCTGGCCTGCCTCCTGATTTCCCTGCTATTGTGCATGAGCATTCCTCCTCTTGGAAGTTGCTCTTTCTTAATGTACTAACTGAATCCTGTCTTTTCTTCCCAGAAATCAAAATCATGGGCTGTATTTCTGAGAGCTCTTTAGTAGGGTTCTTTACTGAAAGATGCTTGCCTCAGGAAAAAAATATTATCGCTTCCTGATATACATTCTTTAACAGTTTTACAGTTACGGCTTCAGCAGAGAAGAACCCGAGAGCAGCTGGCGGACCAGGGCATCATGCCACGTGAGTACCTTCCTTACCCCTCTCTCTGCATCCACAAACAGCCTAGAACTCAAGCAAGTCACTAGTAGATGATGTGATAATACAACCCTCTAGTGGTGCTACAACCCTCCAGCTCTGCAGACTGGATGAGTGGCATGGGGTCTGTGGGTTGTGTCCCATGTGCGGGACTGTTCTGCAGACCTGATCCAGAAGAGGGTCAGAATATGGAGTCAATCTGCTGGTGTGAACTGGAGTGAGCCTGCGTGCTGGATGCAGCCACAGCACAGCCCCATACTCTGGCCCAGCTCTGTTCACCAGATACAGCCATGGTGTGACTGCGGGGCTGTCATCCAGACCATGGGGCTCCTCCCGTGTCTGTAAATTTGGCAGCGGAAGAGTGATAGCAGTGTTAATTGTCATGGCTCTGGGAGCATCATTGTTCTAACTGGCATTTTATCCCTAGGTCTGTGAGTCTGCTGCACAGACTATAACAGAGGCTCAAATTGTTCTGAGTGGAACTACCCAAATCTTACAGCCTCAGTGGCCATCATCTTCACTGGCCATCATCCTCAGGAGAGCAGTACTCCTACTTTTTTGTGATGCTTTGCACTTTATTAGGCTGTAGTCAGCATAGCAGCACAGCTAGCTTAGCTCCACCACTTCACCAGAAGTGTTTAATGTGGGATGGTGTAAGGTGTCTCCTGGGTGTGCCAAGTACAGTTGCTCTTCTGGAAGTCAATGCAGTTGTGGCATTAACTCATGCAGCATGTTGCCCTGCATGTGGTAGGAACTGACCCAAAAGCAGAGGCAATGGCACTGGAGCCATTGTTCAGAGAAGCAGGAAGCTTAAGGCAAACTGACAGAGACATTGACATTTCTGCCTAATTTTTCTGGATGTTTCTGGGGGCCGGGGGTGATACTGTAAAAGGGTTTATGACTTTTCCCCCCTCAAGAAGCCTGAGGCTAGTCAATTGCCAGTCTCCTTTTAACAAATACGGGAGCTCACGGATGTGTAAGGAAGTATAACAGTATAATGTTTAATAAAAACCAAGGGCAAGATTCCCCAGCAGCAACACAGAGGCTACAACCCCTGGATCAACAGTGGCTGTAGCATCATGTAGCACATGCTGAGGTCCCCTCCGGAGTATAGCCAGCAACCCATCCGCGGTCCACTGATAGAGACCACTTTTCAGCCAAGCTGAACCAAAACATCTCTTGGGGGCCAATGCATCTTCTTTGCATCCCCATCTGAACCTGCCTGTTTTGGGACCCAGGATGCCAGGAGCATGTGGGTACTTTGCCCTGCTGTGACTCTTTCTCTTCTCAACTAGGTGGATTTCTTCCACTACAGGTTTGCAAGCTTTTATTTCGTTTGCCAGAACTCAGTCCAGCACAGACTATAGAACAATGTTTTCACTTGACTCCTCCCTCTCCTGTGTCAGAAAGCCAAACCCAACAGTACCATGTCAGCATGTAAAAGTCAGGAAGGGAAAGACTAACATTGATCTCTCTCTTATATCGGTACTGCCCCAGGAGCATAAGGCCAGCAAACAGCATCAGTGAAGAGGAGGCTCCTAGAATCCTATTTCACTTTATACAATTAAATGGTCATTTTCCAGCCTTGTGAGTGGCCTTTTTCATCATGTACAACCAGTTTCCTAGTCTATTACTCCTACAATGTAAATGCATAAGCACACGTACATTAGTGCACCTTGCTCAGCAAGCAGAAAACTTGGGTTCTAACCCCTCCCCTGCCGCCCCCCACAACCTGTCACACTGAGAGGGTTTGATCACATCACTCATTTGCCAGGATAGTGCCCCACAACTGACACCACAGGTTAAGTCTAAGACAAACCCCTTTCCCACTCCTTTTGAAGCTGAGTCATTGCACTTTGCATTTAATATTCAGTTCCTCCTGGCATGAAGGCAATGCAGAAGATCTTGCCCCACTTGAGACCAAAGATCCAGGCAGAGGTGCAGCCAGGCTGCTGCATGACACTCGAGGTAGTGGCACTCAGTGAGATGCCACTGTGGTTGCAACTATTTTTGCACCCCCTCCACCCCCCGCAAAGGCAGTGTCCAGGGCTGCTGCCTCTATCACTGCCCCGCTGCCCTATGCCCCCCAACTCAGTTATGCTACCAGATGCCAGGTAGAACTACGATACTTCTCCCTTACAGAGCAGGAAGGCATTGCTGGCTTCCTCCTAGCTTCACATGTTTCTTGCGCTTGGATGACAAGGGGGAATGCCAGAGACACTGGACAACATACCCTATGACAGGATAGAGCATCTATATGTGGAAGTTTGAGAGGCACAAGTTTGCACTTCCACTTGTTGGAAGGGACCCAAAACCTAGGTTTTCCAATTTCCTGGGCATGTGACCTAATCACTTAGTTATTGGGGCTGAAACATGGAAGGATATTTATTCTTCATCACATGGTATTGATTTACACTTCCCACCATCACCGTGTATATGTAGTCATGCATCTGCCCAGCCAGTACAAAGCCTATTGAACATATGCACTTTGTACATGTACACAGACTTATCCACGCTGCCCAGGTAAAGTAGAATCACAAACTGTGTGTAAATACCAAATAGGTCACTTACGTGGTTGAAAAAACTTCCATTTATATGCACAAGAGTAATAGAATTTTGCTTCTAGATCTCAAACATCCTCTGAGCCCTGTTAAACATATGTTGAGCATGAGCCAGAAAAAACACAGGCAAAGAATTGTCTATATTCACTTCTGTCTCATCATGGTCTCCTTTAGGATCGTTGTTAAAGTTCATGACTTTGCAAGGTCTGTTACACTTCTTTCATGCCGCTTTCTCCCTCTTTCTATTGGTTACTGAGCTTTACTCTATGGGTACTCTTAAGAAATGCTGTGAAACAGGTGTTAAATCTAAATAGAGGGCAGTAGCAGGTATGCTTTCTGTTCTTCAGTAACAAGACATTTCAGTAACAGCATGGCTGTGGCATTCCATACAATACCTGGCTCTTCCACTATTTCTTTCTCATTCTGCCCCTTTCACAGATTATCTGTGCTGACAGCTGTACAAGACAATCAGTACAGTATTGCCAATCTCTAGTGTTCAAAATCATTTAATAGCAATATAATATATTTTTAAATATTATTTAAAAAATAATAAATGTTGAGTTATTTTTATTTGCTTTTTGATTTTTAACTTTTCAGGGTTTGTACTATTAAACTCTTCCTCTGAGCTAGGAAGAGTAGGGGATGAGATCATATGATTCCAAGAGCTGGGACTTTAAGTCCCAAATATTGGGAGACTTATAATAAAATCAGAAGAATTGGCAAGACTGTCAGGTTCTATACCACCTCTAATATCTCCCATACTTTAAAAGTGGACACTTAATGTGGATATGCAAAATGCCGTATCTCACACTCGTACACCAGAGTGATATGAACATACAGGTCTGTGCACTTGAAAAATCTCCAGCTGGTATGAATGCATGGGGTACATGTACTTGTAGGAATGGGGACCTAATGCTTTATAACAAACTTCTGCCTTGCACATAGTATGGTATGGCACCAGCATTAAGCCGGGGGCAAGTAGTGATACATAAATAGCCTTTTCTCATTGTTTTTAGCTTTGTCAGATTCTCACCTTCAGGATTACCATTTTGCCAGTTGGTTTCCCGAAATGAGAATGAGGGCAAAGAAATATGCTGCCATTATAAGAATAAATGTACAAATCTTTAACAGCTCTGTCACCTCAGCAGAAAAGCTTGATGCTTTATATTTGACGAAAGGGAAGCTCTGCATTTGTTAGTTGCCACCAGTTATTCCAGTGGAAATGCATTTTGATTTATTCAACTTACAGAGGCTGCAGGTGGAAGAAGAGCAGGAGGAAAACCCTGCTCATACCCTTTTCACTCTCTCTTTCATCATCCTCTCTCTCCTACTATTTGACACAGGATACTGGGCAAGATGGACCTATAGTTTAATCCAATAAATGGCAGTTCTGGTGTGA